CCCACAATAGGGAACCACAATTTTACCAAAGATATTAGTCAGTTGAACAGATTTTTGGGTGAAAAAGTTTCACTTGTTTTTTTTAATGTCATTATTTGACTAAAACATGCAAACCTCTTCCATCTTTCATAATATTTGACCTTTCAAAGCGACAAGCAAGAACGACTACAAAGCCAGGCTGGAGATCCACACTGCTCAAAYAATGCAGTTACCTTGTGAGGTCAGATATTCACGACTTCAGGTTTTACTGAAYGGAAGTGATGCTTTACTTTTACTCAGCACTCCACGCCGGCACTCCTTCTTCCTCCTGGCAGACAGATGAAGAGTGTCTCTGCTCTCCTGAGTTTATAAGGCTCTCTGTGTGGGGAGAGCCCATCGGGGTGTCAGGTGACCCCATCAGGAAAGTTCTAGGCCTGARTTTCTGCTCACTGGCCACATTTCTCTGAATGAAAGCTGGCTATTCTTATCTCTGTAGTAGTTTGCCAGATGAATGAGACAGAAAATCTGGAAGATTCTTGACTGAGACAAAATAGACAAATACAAGTCTCTCTTTTGTTGTTGTAAAATTTGTCATTTCAGCATGAAAGCGCTCATGCTTTATTATTACAATCAATCAATCAATCAATCAATCAATCAATCAATCAATCAATCAATCAATCAATCAATCAATCAATCAATCAATCAATCAATCAATCAATAACCTTTATTTAACCAGGTAGAAAACCCACTGAAATCAGGATCTCTTTTACAAGGGTGACCTGGTCAAGAGGTCCGCACGACATGTTACAGAGTGTATCAGAGTTTAAATTTACATTGTGATTTATGTACAACAATTCAAAACACAAATAGTTAAAAAAAACAGACTGAGACATTTTGTCATTTGAAACATACAGTATAAACCAAAGTAATTACCAATTACAGCATAATGATTTTTTTAACAGTTGATTAGTGCAACATTAATCAAACACTTATGCTTACAAATTCAAACAAGATAACAAAAACTCAACGAATAAGAAGTCAGATGAAAGACAAGAAAACATCTGCATGGATCAAACTTCTTTGTAATGTTATTAGTGAGGATGGACAAGAAGGATCTAAGAGAGATGAATGTTGACAAATTTTGATCTGTCTGTACGTTGTTCCAGGCTGAGGGGGCT